GTGTCTTGGCTTCTAGAATTCTGGGGCGTGCGAGTTGCCCATCGGGATCTTTTAGAGGAGTCCTGAGAAAGCCAGACACTCAGCCCCTTCCGCAACCGTGTCCGGTTCGAGCAGGGGCTTCGGCCCCTTTGGAGGCAGACACACGTGTGCCTGAGCTGATACCGAAAACGAGTTCTGCGATAGCTGCCGCTTCTGTTCCGCCGCTCCACCGTGTTTGGTCTAAGGAAAGTGGCCCTGGGAGCGCGGACGCAGCGTAATTGACGAGGGAGCGCAGCCCTGGGAGCGTGGACGCAGCGCAGTTCACGAGGGACCGCGGCCAAAGGAGCGCGGACGCAGCGTAATTTACGATAGATCGTGGCCCTGGGAGCGCGGACGCAGCGTAACTTACAATAGATCGTGGCCTTGGGAGCGCGGACGCAGCGTAATTTACAATGGGTCGTGGCCTTGGGAGCGTGGGCGCAGCGTAACTTTTGGTCGTGGCCTTGGGAGCGCGGACGCAGTGTGATTTACAATGGGTCGTGGCCCAAGGAGCACGGGCGCAGCGTGATTTACGAGGGATCGTGGCCCTGGGAGCGCGGACGCAGCGTAACGCACAATAGATCGTGGGCCAGGGAGAGCGAACGCAAAGTAATTCACAGAGACCGTTGCCTTGGGAGCGCGGACGCAGCGTATTTCCCGGAAAGGGCTTAGGCCCAGGGTTTTCTTTTAGTGGGTTTACCCCCGGGTCTGACGGGAAGAGGGCCGGCGGATTTTTTTCCCGGAAAGGGCGTGGGCCCAGGGTTCTCTTTTAGTTGGTTAACCCCCCGGCCCCCCTGCGACTTGGGCCGGCGAAATTATTTTGCGAGCGGGCACGCACGGAGTAGGGCCGGCGAAATTATTTTTGAGGATGTCTCGAGCGAAACGCTTGTTTTTCAGAATTTGTTGAGGATGTCTCGAGCGAGACGCTGGTTTTGCAGAGTTGGGGATGTCTCGAGCGAAACGCTTGGTTTCAGAATTTGTTGAGGATGTCTCGAGCGACACGCTGGTTTTGCAGAGCCGACCGCGACACGGAAAAGCGCCCCTCGCGCAGGAATTCCAAGGATGTCTCGCGCGTGCCGCGTCCCGCGCGCGGGTATTTGGATTTCTTGGGATTTTGACAGGATGTCTCGAGCGAAACGCTTGTTTTTCATAATTTGTTGAGGATGTCTCGAGCGAAACGCTGGTTTTGCAAAATTGGAGGATGTCTCGAGCGGTGGCCTCGTGGGGGGCCAGAATTCAAAGGATGTCTCAGGCGAAATGCTTGTTTTCACGTCCCGCTCGCAGGAATTCCGAGGATGTCTCGCGCGTGCAGCGTCCCGCGCGTAGGAATTCAGATGATTTTGACAGGATGTCTCGAGCGAAACGCTTGTCCCCAGCACGTTCCGTAGCGCGTCCCCTTGGCAGGTCCCGCGATGCGTCCCCATGGCACGTCCCTTGGCACGTCGCTTGGCGCGTCCCTTGAGACGTTCTGCGTCGCGTCCTCCTGGCATGTTCCCCTGTCCATTAGCTCTGGGGCAGCTACTATGTGTTCAGGCAGCTCGAGCTTAAGATCCAGATCAGTTCGGTCAGGACTCGGATGCAAAGGAGGACTCGATCCACGAGGCTATAGAGCACAATCGCGCCATGGCACATCGCAATTCAGCACGGCGCAGCACAGCACTGATTTCGGCACGGTACATCAAGGTCGATGCACTCAGCATTGCAACTTGGCACGTTCCTTGGCACGTTCCGTGGGGCGTCCTTTGGCGAGTCCCCCTGGCACGTCGCGTCGCGCGTCCCCTGGCACATCCCGTGGCACATCCATTGGCACGTTCCGTAGCGCGTCCCCTTGGCACGTCCCGCGGTGCGACCCCATGGCACGTCCCCTGGCACGTCGCCTGGCGCATCCCTTGGGACGTTTCGCGGCGCGTCCTCCTGGCATGTTCCCCTGTCCATTAGCTCTGGGGCAGCTACTATGTGTTCAGGCAGCTCGAGCTTAAGATCCAGATCAGTTCGGTCAGGACTCGGATGCAAAGGAGGACTCGATCCACGAGGCTATAGAGCACAATCGCGCCATGGCACATCGCAATTCAGCACGGCGCAGCACAGCACTGATTTCGGCACGGTACATCAAGGTCGATGCACTCAGCATTGCAACTTGGCACGTTCCTTGGCACGTTCCGTGGGGCGTCCTTTGGCGAGTCCCCCTGGCACGTCGCGTCGCGCGTCCCCTGGCACATCCCGTGGCACATCCATTGGCACGTTCCGTAGCGCGTCCCCTTGGCACGTCCCGCGGTGCGACCCCATGGCACGTCCCCTGGCACGTCGCCTGGCGCATCCCTTGGGACGTTTCGCGGCGCGTCCTCCTGGCATGTTCCCCTGTCCATTAGCTCTGGGGCAGCTACTATGTGTTCAGGCAGCTCGAGCTTAAGATCCAGATCAGTTCGGTCAGGACTCGGATGCAAAGGAGGACTCGATCCACGAGGCTATAGAGCACAGTCGCGCCATGGCACATCGCAATTCAGCACGGCGCAGCACAGCACAGCCCTCGGCAGGGTACATCAAGATCGATACCTTCAGTATTGCATTTGCCCGTCACCCAATCAGGTGTCTTTGAAAACGCTGCCATGTGTTACAGTTCTACATTCCTTTCCGGGTTCGTGGGTCGATCATGTTTTGCGATAAATAACGAGTGGGAAGAGGGCCGGCGAATTAACATTTCAGGATGTCCTTAGCGAAACGCTTGTTTTTCATAATTGCTTGAGGATGTTTCGAGCGAAACGCTTGTTTTGTGTTATAGATTGTCCTCTCCTGGGGACCAGAATTTAGAGGATCTCTCAAGTGAAATGCTTGGTTTCACGTGCCCAGGTCTTGAGGATGTCTCGAGCGAGACGCTTGGTTTCACGCCTCCAGGTTGCCCAGGCAGAGGTCAAGCGCCAGGATTGGTTGAGGATGTCTCGAGCGAAACGCTTGGTTTCACGCGTCCTCGTCGCCCAGGCGGATGTCTAGAATGAGGAGGTGTTGAGGACGTCTCGATCGAGATGCTTGTTTGCACGTGTCCAGGTTGCCCAGGCGGATGCCTAGCATGAGGATGTGTTGAGAATGTCTCGAGAGATACGCTGGTTTTCACGTGTCCAGGTCGCCCAGGCGGATGTCTAACATGAAGATGGGTTGAGGATGTCTCGAGCGAGACGTTTGCTTTCACGTGTACAGGTCGCCAAGGCGGATGTCTAGAATGAGGAGGTGTTGAAACCGTCTCGAGCGAAACGCTTGTTTTCACGTGCCCAGGTCCCCCAGGCGGACGTCTCACAAGAAGATATGTTGAGGATGTCTCGAGCGAACTATTTGTTTTCACGTGTCCAGTTCGCCCAGGCGGATGTCTAGCATGAGAATGTGTTGAGGATGTGTTGAGTGAAACGTTTGTTTTCACGTGTCCAGGTCGCTCAGGCGGATGTCTAGAATGCGGATTTTGACAGGATGTCTCGAGCGAAACAGCGCGTTCCGTAGCGCGTCCCCTTGGCACGTCCTACGGTGCGACCCCATGGCACGTCCCCTGGCACGTCGCCTGGCGCGTCCCTTGGGACGTTTCGCGGCGCGTCCTCCTGGCATGTCCCACTGTCAATTAGCTTTGGGGCAGCTTCTATGTGTTCAGGCAGCTCGAGCTTAAGATCCAGATCAGTTCGGTCAGGACTCGGATGCAAAGGAAGACTCGATCCACGACGCTATAGAGCACAACCTCGGCATGGCACATCGCAATTCAGCACGGTGCAGCACAGCACAGTCCTCGGCACGGTACATCAAGATCGATACAATCAGCATTGCACTTGCCCGTCACCCAATCAGGTGTCTTTGAAAACGTTGCCATGCGTTACATTTCTGCATTCCTTTCCGGATTCGTGGGTCGATCATGTTTTCGATGGAAGCGCGGACGCAGCGTAATTTACGAGGGATCTTGGCTTTGGGTCAGGGACGTCCCGTGGCACGTTCATTGACGCGTTCCTTGGCACGTTCCCTGGTGCGTCGCCTGGCACGTTCCCTGGCACATTCCGTGGCGCGTCCCGTGACGAGTCCCCTTGGCACGTCGCGCGGCGCGTCCCTTGGCACGTCCCGTGGCACGTCATTTGGCACGTTCCGTGGCGCGTCCCCTTGGCACGTCGTTCGGTGCGTCCCCATGGCACGTTCCCTATGGCACGTCCCCATGGCACGATCGCGGCACGGCACATCGCAATTCAGCACGACGCAGCGCAGCACAGCCCTTGGCACGGTACATCAAGATCGATACACTCAGCATTGCAACCTGGCACGTTCCGTGGCGCGTCCCGTGGTGAATCCTTTTGGCATGTCGCGCGGCGCGTCCCTTGGCACGTCCATTTGGCACGTCCAGTGGCACGTTCCGTAGCGCGTCCCCTTTGGCACGTCCCGCGGCGCGTCCCCATGGCACGTCGCTTGGCGCGTCCCTTGGCGCGTCCCTTGGGACATTCCGCGGCGCGTCCCCCTGGCATGTCCCCCTGTCAACTAGCTCTGTGGCAGTTATAATGTGCTGAGGCAGCTCGAGCTTAAGATCCAGATTAGTTCGGTCAGGACTCAGATGCAACGGAGGATTTAATCTACAAGGCTATAGAGCACAATCGTGACATGGCAGATCGCAATTCAGCACGGTGCAGTACAGCACAGCCATCGGCACGGTACATCAAGATCGATACACTCAGCATTGCATTTCCCCGTCGCCCAATGAGGTGTTTTTGCAAACGCTGCTATGCCTTACAGTTCTATATTCCTTTCCAGGTTCGTGGGTCGATCATGTTGAGGGATCATGGTCATACATAATTAGAGGTCTCAGGCGAAACGCCCAGCCCGCCCTTTCGACCGGCCTCGGGGGGCGACTGGGAGGATTTATTTCAAGGAAAAATAATCGAGGAGGAGGAGGAGGAGGAGCAGGAAGGGGAGGAGGAGAAGGAGGAAGAGGAGGAGGAGGAGGAAGAGAACAGCGAGATGGGCCGCAGGTGCTGCGACCTTATGGCCGCTCCTGGGCTCAGCGCGCACGCCATAGAGGTGGAGCGGCTGACCATCCTGTCGCGCATCGCGGAGGGCGGCTTCGGTGCTGTCCACAGGCCAAGGGGCGTCGACCTTGGAGCGAGCTGGGGCCGAGGTAGCCCAGCACTGGTTCCGTAGGGGGGGGGAGAGGGCCATCCTCGTAGCCACGGCTGGAAACGGCTCGAACGAAGCGTCAGTTTCGAGTTGGGGAGGGCACAGAACAGTGATTTTTTATAGGTTTTTGACGTTTTTCCCCAGGAAGGGTTCCGGCCCAGGTTTTTACCTAACAGCTTTTGCTGATAGGTTTCTGGTAGGCTCAAAAGAAAGCATCTGGACTCCACAGGGGGGTCTGGGCGGGCGGGTGCCGGGGATGAGGGCCGGGAACAGAGCCGGGCTCGTTTTAAGCCAACAGTCACACACTTCGTGCTCTTCGACCTCCCAGAACTCCATTCCCGGGCCACATTTTGGATGCCCGGAGCCAACTGTAGGCCACTTCGTGCTCTTCGACTTCCCAGAACTCCATTCCCGGGCCACATTTTGGATGCCCGGAGCCAACTGTAGGCCACTTCGTGCTCTTCGTTCCCAGCCATTCGTGCTCTTCGAGTTCCCAGAACTCCATTCCCGGGCCACATTTTGAATGCCCGGAGCCAACTGTAGGCCACTTCGTGTCTTCGATTCCCAGAACTCCATTCCCGGGCCACATTTTGAATGCCCGGAGCCAACTGTAGGCCACTTCGTGCTCTTCGAGTTCCCAGAACTCCATTCCGGGCATGATTTTGAATGCCCGGAGCCAACTGTAGGCCACTTCGTGTTCTTCGAGTTCCCAGAATTCCATTCCCGGGCCACATTTTGAATGCTGAGACAGGCTGAGGCTGAGGCTGAGCAGGCTGAGGCTGAGGCAGGCTGAGGCTGAGGCCGAGGCTGAAGGCAGACTGAGGCTGAGGCTGAAGCAGGCTGAGGCTGAGGCAGGCTGAGGCTGAGGCTGAGGCAGGCTGATGCTGAGGCAGGCTGAGGCTGAGGCTGAGGCTGATGCAGGCTGAGGCTGAGGGCTGAGGCTGAGGCTGAAGGGCTGAGGCTGAGGCTGCAGGCTGAGGCTGAGGCTGAGGCTGAGGCTGAGGCTGAGGCTGAGGCTGAGGCTGAGGCAGGCTGAGGCTGAGGCTGAGGCAGGCTGAGGCAGGCTGAGGCTGAGGCAGGCTGAGGCTGAGGCTGAGGCTGATGCAGGCTGAGGCTGAGGCAGGCTGAGGCGGAGGCCGAGGTTGAAGGCAGACTGAGGCTGAGGCTGAAGCAGGCTGAGGCTGAGGCTGAGGCAGGCTGAGGCTGAGGCTGAGGCAGGCTGATGCTGAGGCAGGCTGAGGCTGAGGCTGAGGCTGATGCAGGCTGAGGCTGAGGCAGGCTGAGGCTGAGGCCGAGGCTGAAGGCAGACTGAGGCTGAGGCTGAAGCAGGCTGAGGCTGAGGCTGAGGCAGGCTGAGGCTGAGGCTGAGGCAGGCTGATGCTGAGGCAGGCTGAGGCTGAGGCTGAGGCTGATGCAGGCTGAGGCTGAGGCAGGCTGAGGCTGAGGCCGAGGCTGAAGGCAGACTGAGGCTGAGGCTGAAGCAGGCTGAGGCTGAGGCTGAGGCAGGCTGAGGCTGAGGCAGGCTGAGGCTGAGGCTGAGGCAGGCTGAGGCTGAGGCTGTGACTGCGACTGCCGTTGCCACTGCGACTGTCATCGCGAATGCGACTACGACTGCGAGAACAGCAGAATTCTACAACTGGATTCTCATCCGAATCTTAAGGGGAATGCTTCCAGATATGCTTCTACACATCGCTGTTAGGTTGCTTTGCCGGGATAATTTTTTGGGTAGGTGCACCCCAGGAATCGACGGGAAGAGGACCGGCGAAATTATTTGCTGTAAATAACTAGGTGGGAAGAGGGCCGGCGAAATTAGTTTTTCAGGATGCCCCTAGCGAAACCATTGTTTTTTCACAATTGAAAGAGCGTGTTCTACCGCTGCTGGCGGAAAACCGGGGGAGGTCACTACCGGTTCGAACCCCTCCCCCCCCCTCCCTCCGGAAAACCGGGGCGGGGTCACTACCGGTTCGAACCCCTCCCCCCCCCCAGCTCATCATGAAAAGGGGGGGGGGTCACTGCCGGTTCGGACCCCCCCCCCCCCTCGAAAACCCGGGGGGGTCACTACTGGTTCGACCCCCCCCACCCCCCCCTCGAAAACCGAGTGGGGGTGCGGACAGTGGTGGGGACGGTGGTGGTGGGGACAGTGGTGAGGGGACAGCGGGACAGTGGTGGGGACAGTGGGACAGTGGGACAGTGGTGGGGACGGTAGTGGTGGGGACAGTGGTGGGGACAATGGTGGGAACAGTGGGGACAGTGGACAGTGGTTGGGACGGTGGTGGTGGGGACAGTGGTGTGGGGACAGTGGGAATGAGGAGGAGGGTGGGACAGTGGAGGGTACAATGGTGGTGGGGACAGTGGTGAAGGCGGTGGCGAGGACGGCGGTGGGACAGTGGGACAGAGGTACAGTGGGGACAGTGGTGGGGACAGTGGGGACAGTGGTGGGAACAGCGGGACAGCTCAGTGGGACAGCGGAGGAGTCAGTGGGACAGTGGGGACAGTGGGGATGGTCGGGCAGTGGTTGGGGCCGTGGAGACAGTGGGGAAACCGTGGTGGAACAGTGGTGGGGACAGTGGGGACAGTGCGACAGTGGTGGGGGCACTGGTGGGGACAGTAGGGACGGTGGTGGAACCAGTGGGGACAGTGGTGATGAGGACAGTGGCGCTGGGAACAACAGTGGGCAGTGGGGGATGTGATGCGGACGGTGGTAGGGACCGGGGGTCGTTTGAATTCAGAGGATGTCTCATGTGAAATGATTGTTTGCGTCCAGTTTGCCCAGGCAGATGTCCAGCATGAGGATGTATTGAGGATGTCTCGAGCGAGACGTTTGTTTTCACGCGTCCAAGTCGTCCAGGCAGATGTCTAGCATGAGGATGTGTTGAGGAAGTCTCGATCCAGACGCTTGTTTTCGCGTGTCCAGGTCGCCCAGGCGGATGTCTAGCATGAGGAGGTGTTGAGAACGTCTCGAGCTAGACGCTTGTTTTCACGTGTCCAGGTCGCCCAGGTTGTGTTGAGAACGTCTCGAGCTAGACGCTTGTTTTCACGTGCCCAGGTCACCCAGGCGGACGTCCAACATGAAGATGTATTGAGGATGTCTCGAGCGAACCGCTTGTTTTGACGTGTCCAGTTCGCCCAGGCGAATGTCTAGCATGAGGATGTAATGAGCGAAACGCTTGTTTTCACGTGTCCAGGTCGCCCAGGCGGATGTCTAGTATGAGGATTTCAGCAGGATGTCCTGAGCGAAACGCTTGTCCCCAGCACGTTCCGTAGCGCGTCCCCTTGGCACATCCCGCGGTGCGTCCCAATGGCACGTTCGGGTGGCAAATCATGGGCACTCCTTTAGCACCCTGGCGAATCACAGCTCCTATTTCGCGCCATATAGTGTTGCTTAGTGTGGTTTAGTGCGGCGCGTGTCTTCCTTCTCCCTGCCCCGCCCTTCCACTCCCAGCTCTTCCTCCGCTTCCCCCGCGACGCCGCCTCGTCTTTCTCTCCCTTCCAGGCCCGTGCTGCCTGCGCGCGATTTCTAGCGACGTTCCCTCCCGCGTGACAGGTCGTTGCACTGGGGCAGAGAATCTGCGGCTCCAATCTGCGCGCTATCGAACTCCCCTATAGGGGGCGGCTGGATACCTCCAGCGCGATTTCTCCCGTTATACCTCGGTTCATCGGGCACGCCCCGTCGCGGCGCCCAGGGCGCTTCATCGCTGCTCACAGCAGAAGATTCGGAAAAGAAGCAGGGCGGCAGCGAGCGGTGCCGCTGCCAACGCTCGCGGGTCAGGCGGCGCCGCGGGAATTTCTTTGTCTTCGCAGTGCGTCTCGTCGGCGTTCTCAGCGCGCGTGCGCGAAGCGTTGGGGGGCGCCCGGTCAGCGTTTCCATGCTTGCGCGCGCGGCGCAGCGTCTAGGAACGTTCTAGGCAGTCCCTGGCAAACTTGCTCAAGAGCCTAGTCGGCGCTTCCAAGCTCGCGTGCCCAGCGCTTGCGTCTTTCAGGAAGGCAAAGCCAAGTTCGCTTGACAGCTTCTCCTGTGCGCCATTTCAGACGCCCGCGCACTGCGCGCCGCGCGCGGACTCCGAGCGCGCCCAGGGCGAAGTCGGGAGGGGGCATATTTCCGGGTGGTTCCTTGAAGCTCGCAGGGTTCAAATCAGAAGGCGGGTCGTTGACCCAGCCTCAGAAGCGACGTTTGCTGTCAGTCAAGGTGCCGTGCATCGGCGCGTAAGTGTTTGCAGCGGGTTTCGTGGGCAGTTAGTACGCGCTCACTACCTGGCCAGTCACGCGTGGGCGGGCTTGCGCATGCCTGGGGTCATCGCCCGCGCTGCGTGCTAGCCCGCCGGGCAGCCCATGCGCGCCGCCGTCGCTGCCCGCCGCCCGCCGCTCGCGGCGCCCAATACCTGGCTGGCCAAGCGGTTTGAACGCCCCGTCCAACGCGCGCGTTCCCACGCGAGGGCGCTGCTAAGCACGCGCGCAAAATGAGGCGGGCGGCCCCGCCCCCCGGCGCGCAAGCGCGCCCGCGCCCGCGCCCGCGCCTGCCCGAACGCGCGCGCCCAGGCCCCGCGCCAACGCCCGCGCCCGAGCGTGCACTCGCGCCCGCGCGATCACGCAGACGCCCGCGAGTACGCGCGCGCGCTCGCACGGACGCGTGCGCGCCACCGCTCGCGCCATCCACAGTCGCGCGCACGCCGTGCGCGCGCGCGCAAGCGCAAGCGCGCGCCCGCCCGCGCGTGCACGCGCGCGCGCGCCTCGCGCGCGCAAATGCACGCGCGCGCGCGCTCGCAAACGCTCCCCGCCCACCCCGTCCTGCCCCCGCCCCACCCTCCACGGTAATCATGGCGCAAGTGAGCCGCGCTTCGGGGGACCCCCGCGGGCGCGCCTCGACGGGCGCGAGTGCGCGCGCGGCCGCCTTGGCGCCGCTTGGCCGCCCGCGGGCGGCGGTCTCCGCTCGCGTGCTCTCGCGGCGGTGGCGGCGAGGGGCGAGACTGCGGGTCGGCGAGAACCGCGCGCGCGCGCTCTTGCTGTCGGGTGCAGGATGTTCAGGG